TAGAAATAATTTCCCAACTCTCTATCTTTAGCTACAATCTGCTCAGTGCATCTTGGCTGCCCTCAACAAAATGAGCATGAGAGAAACACACAGAAAATATGTACAGATGCTGCTTTATGGTGGATTAAAGACTGAGGTGTTATCAATTTATATTCCTTCCCACAAAGTATGATGTAATGCCTGGTAGGTTTTCAATACATTATTGATCTGACTAAAACATAAGCCAAGCTTTTCCCCAAGTTACCTTTTGGTGTCTAATCCCTGACCCAAAGGAGCACTGCGCCAATGTCCATCTCCCTGACAGATACCTAGTGGGTACGATTAGCTGCCATGGCCTTCCCCAACGATCCTTCACCCACTCCTTACATCTGACCCAATTCTGGCATGTCAAGGTGGTGGTGTGTGGCTGAGTGCCTTCTGACTCATAGAGACTCCTTGTGACAAAACAGAAATGCCCTGCAGGGTTTTCTAGGCTGTAAACTTAAGAGCATAGATCACCAGGTCTTTCTCCTGCAGACTTATTGGCTGGGTTCGAACAGGCAACGTTTCCATTTGCAGCTGAGCACCTACTGTTTCTGTCACCCAGAACCCTGGCTGCTGAGTTGAAATTGACTACAGCGACTCAACTGTACAGGAGAGTACTGCCCCACTGGGTTTCCAAGGCCGTAACCTTACAGAAACTGTTGCCACATCTTCCTTACAGTAGGTGGCTGGTTTCAAACCACTAACTTTGTGGGTAGCAGAGCAACCGAGTTCTTAACCACTGCCCAAGCAGAGCTTCTTAATTCAGGCATACGGCTCAGTTTTCACAATATTTTTTTCTTCTTAAAAAGGAGGCACTATCAAAGTGTTTAATTTGATGTTTTAAAAAAAATCCCTGGCAAGAATTGGGAGGATCATTTGCAAACATATGAATCTTACTTTACTTTCAGAAAATGTCAGATTTAGAAGAGAGATGGAGCTTGCCAATGGATCACAGAGGAAACGACTTGATCTCAACTACAAGATAAACTCCTAATCAATGACATGGCCTTTATAAATGGCAGAAAATAAATATCTTAACTACTCTAAGTATAATTTTGCATGATTCCACAAAGGTCTCAAGAAATAACTACTATATCACATCAATGAGTTACTATATTTTCCCATTTATTAACTTTAGGTTAATTACTGAGCATTCTGGATCTAATAAGACAACAATTCAAAATAGAGAGAAATCCCAGGATCATTTGCAAGAACATGTCCAAGATCTCTCTTTGAAGAAATGGAAGCCACTGTGACCAGCTGCACCAGACACTGTGGCACAGAGGCTCACGGGAGTCGCACCTGGACCTGGAGAACCTTCTCCTCACTTGGCCCGAGACTGGGAGACTGTGGTAGAGGAACAGCCTTGGTGCCTGGCATGTGGTGGCAAAGGCCAAAGGGCCATGTGCTGAGAGATTGAGGGCTGAGAGAGACGTTACTACCACGTGGCTAAGAGGCTGAGAACCAGAGAGAGACGTGGCTGCTGGCTGAGGAGACCAATGGCTGACCCTTACTAACTCGTGGGACCTCTTGATGTCCCTAGTAAAAAAAGTAAGACCAGACATCGCAACTTTCTTATGAAACCCTCACAACGGAGCATCTCACTTAAGATCTTAGAATACTTTTGTTTAAGAGGCTAAGTTAAATATTGAATAGCAAATTTATTAGAAAAGGAATTGTCTTAGGGCATTACATTCATATAGTCTTTCTACAGAGTTTGCCATTTTCTGTGTTCTGCATTTGACTACACACAAAACTGAGGATTCTTTTAGAATAGGCATGAAAATCAAACATCTATGTGAAGCTCTTTTCATTCTTAATGTTAAAATTGTATTATTAATCAAGCAATAACTGAAAAAATGTAAAGTGTAGTGAATACCGATCCTGAGAGGAAATCGTGAGGAAGGCTGGCGGGGTAAAAGTTAAAGTGCTTGGCTACTCACTGAGAGGTTGGTGCTTTGAACCCACCAGATTCTCCACCGAAGAAACAGCCTGCTAATCTGCTCCCATAGAGATAGCACTGCAGGAACCCCTACAGGGACGTTCTGCTCTGCCCGAGCAGGTCACTGTGGCGAAAAACCACAGAGGTCACAATACGCATGCTCTAGTGCTAGTCCCCTCCATCATTCTGTTGTACCGCGGTGACTTGCATGTTGCCATGATGCTGGAAGCTCTGTGGCCAGTTTTTTAAATGCCAGCACTAGGAATAAAGGGCTGGCAACTCTGAAAATTAGTCAGTGAAGCCCAAGAGAACATTGTCCAGCAGGTAGACTTTGAGCATGATAGAAAGAGGGGTCAGGCTGCTGGAAGAGTACATCTTATTTGGTAAAGTACCAGGCCAGTAGGGTGGAGGGAGCTCTCAGTCAGGTGGATTGGCCAACAGCTGCAGGATGGACTCCAACAGGCTAAGGTGTAGAAGGATGACAGCAGCATGTTGTTCTGGTGTACAGAAGATCCCCAGGAAGCTGAGTCGACCCAGTGGCAACTAACAAAAACACGACTACGCCCTCCAAAATGAGCCAACAACAAGAGCAAAAGGCCAGCTAGCATGTTCAAGGCTTCCATGTGGTGTTAGTACCTGGCAGAAGTCATAGAAGTCTAGTGAAGGTTCCTCAGTAGTCATTAAAAAACCCCCATGTGGTGGAAGAGTTGCTAATTGTATTTGTACCACCGACGTTTTCATTACCTTCTCGTGCAAGGCTATAGATCAATCTATAGACACACAGATACATGTATATATGCATACATACACTCATATATCACCTTTCATGAATGACTATCATTCTTAGCCCTAATCTAGATAATGATCCAATTATCAATGTTAGATTGTTAATAGTTGCTTTGAAGTAACTGCAACTCAAGGTGACCCCCATGTGTGACAAAGTAAAATTGCTTCCTACTGTTGTCTTGACTGTAATTTAATGGAAGCGATCATCAAGCGCTTTCTTTCCTTCTTCGGTTCTACAGAGTGGGTTCAAACAGCCCATCTTCAGGCTGTCAGTCAAAGGTAGACCATGTTGCCACCTCTGAACTCGCTGTGACATTTATACCTAAGCTCGGGACGTAATCAGTCAAGAACATGGAAAAAGTTGGGTTTAAATAGATTCCTGCCATACTTCCAATGGCTGGAGCGAAAGATTTCTTTTTCTTTATTTTTTCCCCCAAATCAGTGAAGAAGTCAACGTCTATCAATGTAGTTAGGTAAAAGGGCAGAGAATTCAAAACTTAGAGAGAGAGAGAGAATACTTGATCTTTCATAAGGACCACTTTTTTTTGCCTTGTGCATCAATTACGTAAAGATGGTGCATCTAAAGAAGACAGAAAGAAGAGCCTCCGAAAAGAACAGCTTGCGTGTCAGTCAAGATTCCAGAGACGCGTGTGTAGGAAAACAATTGGCAAACAACAGCCCTTGCTCCAAGAACAGAAAGTGCTCCAGCAGATGTCTTGTCAAGAGGCTACAGACGATGAGAAGTAACATACTCTCGGCCATATGTTTTCTCATCCTTGAGAAAAAGATGTCCTGTTATTTTTGCTTCCCGTTCTGGAGAATGCAGGGAGCCTGTGTGTACAGTGCAGTGGGAGCTTTTTATGTGAGGGGCTTTAAGCCAGGAATTCTGGCTTCATTCAGAAAGGGGTAGCATATAAATTTAGGGTAAAAATGAATACGTAATTACCCAAAACATTTAACTAAGCTACAAACCCCAATCTATCCAAATTGGGGTGGTCATTGGGGTTTTTTGTCATGTGTGTGTTATTTATTTTCTGGCCTGCTAGGCATTCTCTGCGGCCATCTTTCGGCAGCAAATTTCCAGTTTTTCTGAAGAAGTGCCCCTCCCCAGGTCCACGCTGTTTGGTGAGGCTTGTTCGCTATCATCCTATCTTAAATGGCGGCTCAACATGTGGACTTGTCACCACGCAATCTAAAGTTACTAAACCGAAGGGAGCCGGTTGAGAAATTGGAGAGGCGAGTGGATCTGATTAAGTCAAAGGATGCCGTACTGCACGTACAAACAAGCTGTATGTAAAGAGCAACAGGCGGCGAGTGGGAAAGTGGAATTAGTAATTGCAGAGAAGCAACAGCACCAATGATGCAAAAAATTCCACGGAGCTCCCCAGGCAGTGGTGCTGAGCACCAAGCGGAGAAAGTCAGCGTGGATGCAGAGGTCAGGAAGGGCTTGAGAGGCCACCATGTGGACGGTATGGTCCAGGTGGTCTGAAGTCACCTCTGATGAAGGAAGGCCTTGGTACTGAGAAACAGGTGATTGTGAATCCGGTTGAAAGCTCTTGGAAAGGTGATAGCAATGATAGCATATCCTGAGGTGGTCTGATGAAAGACTAACCTTAAAGGAGCAGAGGATTTTAAAAGAGGGCAGAAAAGTCCACATAAACCAGTGTTTCCCAAAGTTGCTAATACCGCCCACCCCCCAAGAGGGTGCTGTGAGGATCTGGCGGTGGGGCGGGGAGGAACTGTAAAAGCAGATCCATACATTTTGTGGTAGTTATGTAATCTGTTGTCAATTTGAAAGGATTAAGAGTGAAGGGGTGGGGTTTAGTCTGTCAACCAGGTCGCATCTTGATGACTGCATTTGGAGGTGCTAAGGAAATAAATAGCTCGCTGGAGGTGGGAAACATGCTCACTCCCTGGGAGACATTGCAGCTGACAAGACACATGGAGCTACACTAGTGCCCTAAGTTGGAGGAGCCACACGTGGAGACCCCTGCCAGAGCTCAGATGCTCACACTGCCACTGGATCCACAAGACTTTGCATCCACTAGCCTCTGATCTTCCTGCATTCGGCATAATTGCATGTGTTTTGTGAGTCTAAAGAGGACTTCATAGATTGGTATCAGACAGATGGGCTAATATCAGACTTAAGGATTTGATCTGGACTGGGCTGGGCCGTTTTCTCAATATTCAATTGCTCTTGTATATAAAGCTCTTTCTTTTTTCTTTTTTATGAGTGTGCGTGTGGCGGGGGGGATTCCGGGGGTAAAAAAAAGAAAAACCTGCTAGACAAATTCTAAAAGAGCTGTGACACTACAAAACTCATTCTTATACACATATGAACATCTATGAATTTGTTTCTCTAGTCTACCCGGACTAACACACACACACACCCTAATATGAATTCTGGGCTACAGTACAAAAGCTTCCACCTACCAGGGAGGCATTGAGTAATTTTCTTTTCCCTGAAAAAAGGGTGGTAAGGCACATAAGTTGGGAACCTCTGGTCTAAGACGTTACAAAGGGAAAACACAAATTCCTCTTCACATAGTGGATAATAATGGGGAGTCTACTTGAGAGAACAGCTTAGAAAGTAGCCTGACCTTAAGGGAAGGTCACCTTAATTTTATAGCAAAAAGATGGAGGAGAAAACCAGGGAGAGGAGACTTTGCTGAGAGGGAATTTCAGGGAATACAGGCAGGAATTTTGGAGACTGAGCTGGGTGGAAAGGAAGGTGAGGGCCAGAGCAGGGAGTCATGTAAAGTCAGGGCTGGAAGAAAAGTTTGAGGTTTCCACTTTGTGCATTGACTGGTGAAATTCTGATCATTAACCATCTTTAGGAAACTGAGCATGGAGTCTAGTAGCTAGAGAACTTGTCTAACTCTGCCAAACGTGTTTGAGATACTTATTAGACTTTGCCAAAAATGCAGTCCATTTGTGGAATGAATAAATGACTGCATGTAACACGGTGGTAGACAGAAGTCTAAAGAAAGCATCCTTCTCCAAAGCAACACCAAGGGTACAATCACCGCTTAGGGAACAATGTCTTCTGCCAGCACGTCCTTGATACCTACACTTTGGCGCCTTGAGAACAAATGGAGTCAACTCAACAGTTGGGGTGGAGTTTACTTACATACATGTCTCTGAGCTAACATTTATAACATCATGGCTCTCAGAAATGAATTGCAAACATTGTATTTGGCCTTCTCTACGTGGCCTCCTTTAGATCACTTCTGGCCATGGACGCTCGATTCCCAGCTGCTCTTTGTGTCTGTACCCTTGTCTTCCCTGTGCCATGCCTCTAGGAATAGTAGTCTACCGATGGAATTTTAATTAAAAACTCAGCCACGGGCAAAGGAAAATGGGAAAAAGAAAAGAAGTGCAGAAAGGATCAGTTATCAGGCATCAAAGAACAAAAACCATCACTGTGTGACCACCTTCCCCACATAAACGTTGAAGACAAATGTATACATAAGAAAGTGTGGTGAAGAAGGCTGATGATGCCCGGCTATCAAAAGATAAAGCATCTGGGGTCTTAAAGGCTTGAAGATAAACAAGTGGCCATCTAGCTGAGAAGCAATAAAGCCCACATGGAAGAAGCACACTAGCCTGTGTGATCATGAGGTGTCAAAGGAATCAGGTATCAGGCATCATCAGAACAAAAAATCATATCATTGTGAATGTGGAGGAGTGTGGAGTGGAGATCCAAAGCCCAACTGTAGGCAATTGGACATCCCCTTATGGAAGGGTCGCAGGGAGGAGACGAGCCAGTCAGGATGCAGTGTAGCAGCGATGAAATATATCTTTACTTCCTAAATGCTTCCTCCCCACCCACACCCACTCCCACTATCATGATCCCAATTCTACCTTACAAATCTGGCTAGACCAGAGGAGAGGATGTACACGGTACAGATAAGAGCTGGAAACATAGGGAATCCAGGACAGATGATCCCTTCAGGACCAGCGGTGAGAGTGGCGCTACTGGGAGGGTGGAGGGAGGGTGGGGAGGAAATGGGGAACCAATTACAAGGATCTACATATAACCTCCTCTCTGGGAGACGGACAACAGAAAAGTGGGGAAGGTATACATCAGGCAGTGTAAGAAATGACAAAATAATAATTTATAAATTATCCAGGATTCATAAGGGAGGTGGCAGCAGGGAGGGAGGGGGGAAATGAGGAGCTAATGCTTGGAGCTTAAGTGGAGAGCAAATGTTTTGAGAATGATGAGGGCAGCGAATGTACAAATGTGCTTGACGCGATGGATGGATGGATGGATTGTGATAAGAGTTGTATGAGCCCCTAATAAAATGATTTTTAAAAAATGCTTAGTCCATCCAGAAACTGTTGTTTCATGTGAGGACATCACCCGAGAAAACTTTTTGCAAAGCTTTAGTGATTTGGGGAAATGCCCACTTGAGTCTTGTTAAAATTTTGATATTAGCTCTAATTTCCAATGTCTTCCCCCAACTCCCACCCCCATAGCTGAACAACATCCTCTTTTGAAGGCACCCTAACAAGACCAAATAAGACAAGTGTAGTACGGAAAGAACTTGCCCGCTGCCATTCACTGACCACAGGGACCTATTTGCACACATTTGTTTGGAATGACTCAATGCATGCATGACCTGGAACCCCAGTAGCAAGGGTTTGAATAGTACATAGAGATTCCTCATTTCTCCCCATTTTGCTCTCCGAGCCACCCAGCAGGAAATGACTATGACCACCAATGGATTACATGCTTTCTGAAAGATCACTTTCATCAGTCTTATGTGATGTGGCCCTCTCTGTTCCTGGAGTTACTTTGCAGTTGTGCAAGGACACAGAAACCTGCCCTTTCAGAGGTTGTAAACACTAAGACCAGGCAGAAAGTCCTGACGATCTATTGCAAAAAGGAGCCAACTAAAACCTAATGGACCCCAGTAGAATCTTACCCAATACAGTGTCACAAGATAAATCCCTAAATTGGAAGGCACTCAAAATACACGATGACCACGATAATGATCTTACTCAGGATGATGGCTCAGGATCAGGCACTGTTTTATTCTGTTACACACGAGGTGGCCATAATCTTCTTAGTATCAAGAACCTCTAAATTGGTGCAAAGGAGAACTTGACGTGATATCTGTAGATTATATTTCTTTGCTAAAATTAATGAAGGCTAATGCTTTGTACTTAGAGACTTGATAACGATTATATCTACCATGTATGTATAACTGCCCTCCCCCCGCCCCCGGGGGGGCAGCTCTACCTTGACCTATAGAGTCCCTATGAGTCAGAATGGACTCGAAGACAGTGAGTGAGATGTATTAGTCAGTCGGCTCACCCCTATTGAGCCATAACTATATTCAGGGCATAATGTTAAACACAGAGAAGACTGGAGGTCTCTACCCCTAAAGCATACAATAATTTGTGGAGCGCAGAATGTAGTTGAAAGAAATGCACAGAAAACAATGACCTCATAGAATCTCAGTAGTGAAAGGCCTGAGCATTTATTCATGTTATGCATCATGTGAAGTAGCAAAACATAAACCAAACCACGCCTTGACAAAGCCAGACACTAAAAGGTCTATGCTAATAGGACTGATAGGATTCTATAAAGGCTGAAATGATGGTAAACTTGAATAATGCAGAGTACAAAACATTAATCTTAATGCTTCCTGTAAAAAAAAAGTTTAGGTTAGTTTAGGTGGAAATGATTAATGTAATTAATTAATCATGTACTAGGGTTTGCCTTTTTGTCCTATTTGCTTTTTAATATTATCAGTGCTTTTTTAATATATTATTTTTATTTCAAACCATTAGTTATTAAATGTCTCACATTTACAAGAAGCAATGAATTGTTGGGTACTTATAGATCTCTAAAGATTCATGTGTTATCTAAAAAATTCTTGTGGCAAAAAAGCTCACTTTCTGATTTTAAATTGGGAAAATAAACAAGGAATGGTCAAGGTTAGTTTTTTAATATGATTAATTACAGTAAATCTGAGAAAGTATCACTTTTATTATCTAACATATGACAAAGCCAGGTCAACAATTGAAAAAATGTAAATTTATAAAAACATCTGTTGCTTTTCTGGTTTACCAATAATGTTCAAAGATTTTTAGAAAATAAAAAATTAAAATTTCCAAAATGGAAGAGTACGCAAATTATATTTCTAATACAGATCTCTTATTGTAAAGAGACAGTAACACATATACACACTCACACTAGGAATGATTAAGATAATGAAGCACCTTTGCAAAGTGCTTATTGTTTCTAATTTAAAGCAATATTATAACTCTGACATTTTGACAAAAACAAAAAAAATTGCACTCTCCTCTATGAAAGCACTTAATAAGAATATTACAAACTGTAGTTGATGCTGAAATTGAGGTTTACTTTTCCTTAGCAAAACAGTTATTATTAAGCTACAGTGCACTGTGTAGTAATTTTACTGAAATTAGTTTATTTGCTTGCTAGACAGTGAAATGAGTATATGCATAGAAGGTGAATGATTCTGCACAAAACCTTATTTTAAGAGACGCTTGATACAATTTACAAATTCTTAACAATGTGATTACTGCTGAGACTGACAGGTATGCATATTTGATGTAGGAGTTAAGTTGCTTAGTATAATTCTGACATTCTTTTGTTGCTTCACAAGATCAGAAATAAGAGCTTAGTTACAACAATTTTTCTTTTTCTGCCAAGGGGGGAAAAATTCTCGTTAACTCAGATGACAGCAAAGTTGAGAATTTAAGAAGAGATAAAGAGGGAAAATATCTTAAAAATAACTCAAAGCCTCATTTCTCACAGATCTTTAATCCATATCACATCAGATACCAACTTTCAAATCAAGAAGCACCGTCTGCTACCATTGTCAATGTGTAAATACCACCTACTTCACTTGGGCATTTGTAAAGATCACAGCTCTCAATTCGATGCTATGCTGTTTGCTGAATGCCATGTGTTCACAAGGGGCTGTCTATGATGGTCATCGTATAAAGCACTGTTGAGAACACGTATACCTAATGTTCACAATACTATCGAAGGCAGACCATAGTCATGGGATAGGAGTGGGGGCCTCGACTGATATTGATCTGCAGGACCGCAGAAATACATGGTAAAATCCCCCTCACTATTGCATCGCATTCCTCCCAATCAGCTTGATGGAAAATCTCTAAGCCTTTCCTGGCAGCTTACTGAATTAATGGTTGATGACTTTCCACTACACAGCTCTTCAAATTTTACCAACAGGAAACTAAATATCGCTTAAGTCTATGCCGTTGAATATCTCAGAAAGCAGAATATTTACAAGGATGAGCTAGCTAGC